TTTTTAAAAAAAATGTTTTTATTGATTTTAGAGAGAGGAAGGAAGAGGGAGAGAGAGAGAAGCAGCAATCGGCTGCCTCCTGCACATCCCCTGCTGAGGATCATGTACCCTGACCAGGAATGGAACCAGTGACTTTTGGGTGCATGGGACCTTGTTCAACCCGAGAAACACTGGCTAGGACTTAAATACTTTTTAAAGGAATTTGTCACCTAGAATATTAACTCTATATCTGTTAAATAATTAAACTATTGACAGTGGGGCAGGTTTATAAGGCAGAGGGAGGGGAAGCAAGTGCTAGAACAGGAGTAAACATTTACAATATATAACAAATAAAAAAACAATACCCAGCCTGGCCGGTGTGGCTCAATGGTTGAGTGTTGACCTATGAACCAGGAGGTCACGGTTCGATTCCGGTCAGGGTACATGCCTGGGTTGTAGGCTCCGTCCCCAGTGTGGGGCATGCAGGAGGCAGCCAATCAGTGATTCTCTCTCATCATTGATGTTTCTATCTCTCTTCCCTCCCTTCCTCTCTGAAATCAATAAAATTATATTAAAAAAAAACAATACCCAGATTATGTAAAGAATCACCCAACAACCAATTAGAGAAGAAGAAAACAACAAAGAATCAATCAATAGAAAGATGGGGAAACGACAGAGACGCACAGACAGTTCACATAGGGAAAACCAGACCGGCCCAGACACAGGAAGCGGCACAGCTCACTGGCAATCAGAAATTACATAGGTGCCATTTTTTTTGTCCATCTTAACAAAACGAAGATAACGCCCAGAGTTAGCAAGGCCACGGTACACAAATATCCTCTCAGGGAGATGTAAGTGGTAAAGCTCTTTTGTAGGGCACCGTGGCGCTTCGGTTTGTGCTTAACATAGGCATGCCCCTCTGACCTAGCAGTTTCACTTCCCAGTAGCTACGCCACAGAAGTGTCTCTGTGCCTGAGAAAGCTTGTGCAGGAACGTGCATTCAAGTGATTTTCAGCAAAGAAAAATTAGAAACAACCATTAATTTTTTTTTTTAGGAAGTGACTCTATGGCATAGTCACAGTATGGAATGCTACAGGGCAACGGAAGAGAATGAGGTTAGTCTGTGGATAAGGGTAAGGGAAGATCTCAAGACAAACCATTCAGTGCAAGAAGACAGCTGAAGAATAGCATGACAGAAACAAAATCCACCCAAAAGGAGACTATACATTTCTATGGGTGCATGTACCTATGAGTAACAGGGAAGATCTAGAAAGATCCACAAAGTGATAACAAAGGCTAAGTCTTGGGCAGTAGGTCTGGAGAGGATTATCAAGGAGACTTGAAGTTTTACATTTCTTACAACAAGAATATTTCACGTATTTCTTGTTTAATTCGAAGTAGTATGATTTCTAATAGCAAGAGGAAGGAGGGAAGTGTTGTTATTGACCAGGGGAGGATGCTATTAGCAAGTGCTCAGAGGGGAGGGAATGACAGAGAAGTGTACCACCACCAGGGGGCAGAGCTGAGGGCCAGAATGGAAGGGGAGAGGCAGGAGGGCCATCAGGGAAGAGAAGGAAGGAAGCGGAGGGAAGCAGTTGGGAGAGGACCGGAGCTCACCAGCGGGTCAGGGAGTCCTGGATGGCGTTGGTGAGCGCGTGGCCCAGGTGCAGGGAGCCTGTCACGTTTGGGGGTGGGATGCACATCATGAAGATGCCCCGTGGATTAGGTGCTGACACGCTGGAACGCTATGGGGGAGGAAGGATGGGCACATGCTAAGACTCCATGTGACCCCTCCCCCGCCCTCCCCCTCCAGCCTGGTGGCGGCGCCACTCACTCCATACTCTGGCTTAAAGAAGCCCTGCTGCTCCCACCACGGGTACCAGGCTGCCTCCACGTACTGAGGGCTGTAGGAGTCGGGCATAGAGCCACTGATATCTGGGGGAGAGGAAGGCAGGCATCAGTGTGGAGGCTGGGCCGCTGGGGAGAGGATGGTGGATCAGCAGAGAAGGGCCTGGGCCTCCGCAAATCTTCACCAAGAAAAGTGGTGGGAGCAGGACAGGCATGAAGGGAAACGGGAGCAGCAGCAGCTGAGGAGGCGGAGGTGAGGGGGGCGGTGAGGGGGGCGTGAGGGGGTCCCTCCCCCGACCCAGTACCTTTCTTCTCCCCAGGCGGGGTTGGGAGATCATAGGTAATAACTCCAGGATCCCGCTTCTCCCTCTTCTCTGGTTTTGGTTTCTTCTGCTTGGGAGGGAAAGATACAGACTCAGACTCAGATCAGCCTCTCCCCTTGCCCCGACCATGACACCAGCATCCTGTTCAGCTCTCCCCTAGCCTCTCACCTCCCTGGGCAGTGGTTGCTGCTGCTGGATCTTCTGCTTCTGTTGGAATTTCTCTAGTTTCTCCCGTTTCTTTGCCTCTTTCTTCAGTTGAGCAGGTGTCTTTGGAGGTGCAGTGACCTCAGGGCCTGGTGAGAGGCCCAGAAATGCAGACTTAGCCGCTGAGGCCCTCTGTGAAGGTGCTGCTGTGTCTCAGTCGGTCATTCCGGCTGCCCAAGGGCTTCCCCATGCTGACCTCCCACCTTGCCCTCCCGCAGGGATTCTGCCATTCTAAGATAAGAACGTGAGCTGCAGGGGAGACCGCAAGGAGCCCCTCCCCTCCCCCTCCCCCCTTCCTTACCTGGCTGTTGGAAGAGAGGCCTGGCCCCTGAATACAGAACCACCTCTCCCAGCACGGCCCGGAATTCTGGCTGCTGGACACAGGTGATGAACCAGCGAGTGACGTTACCCCAGATCCGGCGCACACAGGGATCCAGGACCTGGGAAGGGGAAAAGAAATCAACTATCCTTAGTCACCCTTTAGTGAGGCCAGAGAGGAACTGCCCCTATTCCTCCCCAGGCCCGAGTGACTCACATATCGGAAGGGCAGCAGCAAGGCTGTGACGGCCGCCAGGTCAGCCAAAGTGGGAGCCTCCCCGGCCAGGTAGGTGTGCTGC